CTAAGAGAATTCTGGTAAGCTACCGGTGTCTCAGTGTCTGACCCCAGAACCCAACGTAGTCATTCATCCTTCCATCCATTTCAATTCGCAAAGTTTATTGAGTTCCTACTGTGTGCCGGGAACTGTATGAGGTCCGAGAGTTATGAAGCTGAAGAAGAGATCCTTGAGGTTAAGTAGATTGTGGCCTAGTGAGGAGCCATCTTATCTTTAACACCAGGCTTGCTAACCACTCCATTCATTTGTAGTGTTGCTAGCAACAAGAAAATTAATTCACCTGGTAAGAGTAAGCAGATAGGGGGCAAAAGAGAATAATTGAGGAGAGTTGATGTCTAGGAGGAGAGGGTGTGCTAACAAAAAATTTAAAACCGTATTGTTTTATAAATACCCCATGAAACCTTAAAGTATAAACCAGTTCTCAGAGCTTTATTGCTTATTACTGAACAGCTTAACAGGTGGATTTAGTTGTGCTGTTGTGATAACTTTACCACCGATGTGAGAGGGTTGACTAACCTACCTAGGTCATCCCCATGGTCCAGGAAATGAACACACATGTGAGCGCTGAGGGACTGTCTACAAATGGGTGAATGGAGTGCTAGAAGTAACTGAAGAAGACTGAGAATATCTGCAATAAGTTGAGTCGGAATCAGAGAAATTCCATATGTTAGTTTGCTGAGTGAATCCCTGGGTCTTTCTAGATTAATGTCGTTGGCCACTAACTAAAAGGTTAGCGGTTCTAGTAAACCTAGAGGCACTTTAGATGAGAGGCCTAGTCATCTACTTCCTGAAAATCACAGTTCTGCATGGACAGAAATCGGGTTGTCATGAGTCAGAAACAACTCCATGGCAACTGATGTTGGAGTAATTTGCTGTGCCCCTGTGTTTGCTGCCAGGCATCCTGACCCAGAAGCGCTGGTCCTGTGAGTGGGTATGACATGTTACGGTGCTCTGTAAGGTAAAACTTTAATGTGGTTATGGACAGGACAGGAGGAGGACAGTGTTTTGAAATGACTTCTCCTATTTTTAAAATAGTCCTTGTTGATCCATCAAAGGTCAATATATTTCCTATAGCACCCCCAGTTCTCATCAGATTACAATTCTCATTAAATGTAAACTGATCATTTAGGAGAAAACCACTAATTTTGTGTGTCTGTGTTTGTGAGTCACTGCTCTAATTGTATAGCGCATCATTTAGCAGTAAAGGAGTGACACATGGCGCAATCAATGTGATTTCATTAGAACAAAGCAAACAAAATTACATGCTGTGTCCTTCTGAAGGAAGTTTCGGGGTTTTGTCATGAAAAAAAAAAAAAAACCAACAGAAAAACTAAACTTTCAGGGTTTTTTTATCCTCTAAAGATCCAAGTCCATTGCCCATGAAGTTGATTCTGACTCATATTGACCTGATGAGTGGAACTGCCCCATTGAGTTTCAGGCTCCACAGGAGAAAAATGGGCAATATCTTCCATTTACACCTTCAGAAGCACAAAGGAGGTCAGCTGTGAATCAGTTCCAATCAGTGGCAATGAGAAAGAGAAAATGTTAAGGAAGGAGCACTGATAGAGTAGTCTATAGGGAGTTGAGCTGCTAACCCAAAGGCCATGCCTATCTGGACTTTTGAACTCATCAACACTTCAAAAGGAAGATGAACAATCACTTCTTATGTGATTTACAGCCTGTGACCTCAATGGAGGTCAGTTATGACTCACTCACTTTTGAATTAATGGCTATGAGTTGAAATGAGAGGAGGTTCCACTGAAAATAAAGAGTGTAAATACCTTAATCAGATGCAAACTCCAGGTCTCCCTAAGCACCGGTGTCCTTGAGAAAGGAAGTAATGAAGGGCTGCAGAGAGGGGCACTGGAGACAGCGAAATTGCAAAGTAAGAATATCACCAATTGTGATCTATCTGAGAATATGTCACAGCAAAAAGAAGATAGAGTGGTGGGCAGAGAAGGAAAGTGTGCTAAAGTTCCATCAAACTATTTTGTGAAAGATATTCCGGAATTACAGACTATGTTGTGACCCATATTCACGTTTTGCATTATTACAGCATTAGATCTATAAAATGCTACTTATACACAGAACCTAGGTCATAGAATTTGAAACTTACAGGACTTACAGGAATTCCTCTTATAAGTGAGAAAACTCAGTCCCAGAGAGTCAATGTAAAAATGATGAAAGACTTGGACTCTCATCAGGAAGACATGGTTTGAATCAATTTAGCTTTGGAAACCCTATGGGACAGTTCATCTTTGTGTTACTATGAGTAAGAATGTACTCAGTAGAATTGGGCCTTTGCTTTGTTGTCATTAGAATTGAAAACAATACTCAAAAATAAACCTACTGCCATCAAGTCAGTTCTGGCTTATAGAAACCCTCTTATCCAGTTTTCAAGATTTAGTGACATTAGTTGTTGGCAAACAATGACAGTAATAACAACCATACTGTTGTTGTTGTTGTTGTGTGCTATTGAGTCAAAACTGACTCATAGCTGACCTCCAGAAGCTTTTCAGAGGCCATAAATCACAGGGGAGGAGACTGCCCATCTTCTGTGGAGCAGCTGGTGGGTTGGCGGTTTAAGACCTTATCAATAAGTTACCAGAATTATAATAACAACCTTGTTGCTGTTGTTGTTGTTGTTACTTACCTTCAAGTATGAACCAATACATAGCTGACCCTCCAGCAAGTTTTCAGAGGCAGTCAGTGGAAGGGAGGAGATTGCCCATCTTTCTCCAATGAACCAAGCAGTCAGTAGATTCAAACCTCCTGCCTTTGAGTTGCCAGTATAACTCCTTGCAATTAAGCTACCAGAGCTCCCAAATAACAACTTTGTTATTATTGTTAAATACCATCCAGTTGAGTAGGACCCATAACAACACTGTGAACAAAAGATCTGAACCCTGGCCTATCTTGTGTCATCTTTATCATCCCCGATGCCCTTCAGGTCTTTGCTGCAGTGACTATGTCAATATATCTCATTGAGAGTCTTTGTCTCTTTCCTTGATCTTGTACCTTTCTAAGCATGATATCCATTTCCAAGGACCTCTCCTGTCCGTAGTGTATAAGACTAAGCTTTGCCAGCCTTACCAATAAAGACCACACTGGTTGTTCCTTCTTTAAGACTTACTGTTTGTTCTCTTGGCAGTACACAGGATATTCATTACTTTTCTCTAGAACCACATTTCAAAGGCATCAGTTCTTCTGATCAGTTCATCTTTATTCATTGTCCAGCTCTCATAGCAGGTGGTTGGAAAGACCATGGCTTGAATCAGGCACTCGTTAGTCTTTAAACTGACATCATTGCTCTCCAGTATTTTGGAGAGGTCCCTGACTGGAGCCTTTTCAGTGCAATACATCTCCTGACCTATATACAGATGTATTATTTGTTTATTATGGATCCCAGTAAGATGAAGTCATTAGCAATTTCAGTCTCTTCTCCATATATTATGATACTGCCTATTGGCCCAGTGTTGAATATTTTTGTTTTCTTGATGTTTAGATGTAATCCATATTGAAGACTGTAGTCTTTGATTTTCTTCAAGCATTTCAATGCTTCCTCACTTTCAACGAGTAATGTTATATAGTCTGCATAACATAGGTTATTGATGAGGCTTCCTCTGATCTTTATGCTGCCTACTTCCTTTTCATAAAGTCCAGCTCCTCAAATGATTTGATCAGCGTACAGGTTGAATAGGTATGGGAAAGGGTACAACTCTAATGCACACCTTTCTTGATTTTAGACCAGGCAGTGTTCCCTTGCTCTGTTCACACAACAGCTTCTAAGTCTAGGAGCATAATTAAGTATTCTAGAGTTCCCAGTATTCTCAATGTTGACCATAGTTTGGTATGACCCACAGAGTCAAATGCCTTTGTGTGGTCGATAAAACACAGAAAGACATTCCTCTGATACTCTCTGATTTTAGCCAGAATCCATCTGACATTAGCAATGATATCCCTCATGTCACAGCCTCTTCCAAACACAGATTTAACTTCTGGAAGTTCCCTGTCAATATACTTTTCTAACCATTTTTAGGTGATCTTCAGCAATATTTTGCTTGCATGTGCTAGATAATTTGCTTACATGTTGTTAGATAATTTCCACATTATATTCCACCTTTCTTGGAAATGGGAACAAATATGAACATCTTCCAGACAGTTGAACAAGTCTTCCAAATTCCCTGGCACAGGGTGTTAGGTATGTCCAGGGCTATATCTGTTAGTTGAACCATGCAATTGTTACAGCATTGGTTCCTGTGGCTTTATTTTTTGCCATTATTTTCAGTGCAGCTTGAACTTACAGCACATCAGCAGCTCAAGAGCAAATTGAGTAATTCTACCAAGCTTTGCAGTCTTAAATTGACCAAACATGCAGTCAGGTTACATTAATAATAACTGGTCTCTGGAATGCAAACGTTGGAAACAAAAACTAGTATTCAGAACTTACAGATTTGGTGTCAGAAATGAGGCTGGAGATCAAATGATTTAATATTGTATATACAATGATTTATTCATTGCAAATAACTTCTTTTAAGAAAAATATTTGGTGACTATACACCTTATGGACTGCATAGGAATCAGAATTACTCAACCTGTAGAAAGAATCATTGGAGAATCTCAGTTATCAGCAGCACAATTCAGGCCAGGTGCTGACTATAGAACAGATCATCAATTACTGAAGCACAAGTTGAAATAGAAGTTGAAGAAAATGAAAACAATTCCACAAGAACCAAAATACAATCTTGGTTTTACTCATCTGAATTTAAAAGTCATCATCTCAAGAATAGGATTTGAGGAATTGAACACTAATGATTGACGACCAGAGACCAGATGAATTGTCAGATGGCATCAACAACAACCATAGAAAGTAAAAATTTAGTATTCAAGAGAGCACTATTGACACTCATTATTTCTGTTGGTTTTCATAATTATATTGCCAATTAATTATAAAAATTAAGGAAAATTCTTATAATTTTACCTAAAAATATATTCTTTTTTTTCAGTGGGGAAAAAAATTTTCACATATTTTACTACATCTATGCTGGCTTAGCTGAAAAGAAGAAACTAGCCCACTACAAATTGCCCGAAAATAAACCTCCCAGGTAACAAGTATTTTTCGATTTTTTTAAAATAAAATTTATATTTTATACTGGTTTAATAACAAAGTTTGTATGCATTATCCTTTCTTTTATATATTTTCAGGTATCTACAAAATGACCACCTGAGAACAGTGCAGGATATGATGAATAACGGTTTCTATAAATCCCAACATGAATTAATAGAGCAATGTTTCAAAGTCATAGGCTTCTCAATGGAAGTAAGTTTGAAACAGACTTTGAGCTCTTTTTCTTTTTTTTTTTTTAAGTATCATTTTGTTATCACAAATCCTAAGACTTCCTATCTGTTGAACATTTTATTTTTGTTTGGCATAGTGCTAAGTACTTTACATGTTGTTGTTTTTGTTGTGTACCATTGTGTCAGAACCAACCCATAGCTAACCCTCCAACAAATTTTCAGAGGCAATAAATCACATGGGAAGAGATTGCCCATCTTTCTTCTGCAGAGCAGCTGGTGGATTCAAACCATGTGCCGTTGGTATATCAGTGTAACTCCTTACCATTAGGTCACCAGAGCTCCTTAAGTACTCAGCATAGTTTTTCCCATATAGTTACCTCAACAACCTAATAAAATGAATAGCTACAATTATAATATTTACTTTATAGATGAGGAAATAGTGTTTATGTATAATGGTAATTAGTTTTGTTCCTAATGTTATATTTTATTTTATTTCTACTTCATGCCCTACCTATATACCACTTTAATTAAATCCATAATATTATCATTGTTGTTGTTGTTTTGTACCGTTGAGTCAGAACTGACCTGTTGCTTATCCTCTAGCAGGTTTTCAGAGCAGTTAATCACATGGGAGGAGATTGCCCATTCTTCTCCCATGAAGCAGGTAGTGGTTTTGAACCACATGCCTTCAGAATTGAAGCACAGCTTCTTGCCAGTAGGCCACCAGAGCACCCTAAAATAAGATCATATTACATGTTATTTTTCAGTATAATATTTTTAATAGTAACTTCATTATTATTCATATAACATACAATCACTCATTTACTATTTTATGACTTTGAGTATATTTTTGTATAGTGTCTACGCATCACCACAATCAATTTTGGAATATTTTCCATAATTCCAAAAAGAGTCTCATTCCTAGGTTCGAGTGTCAGAACCTTTGAAAATGGGCTTTTCTAGCCATTGTGTTAGCTCTCGTTGGGGACCATGGTCTTTAGCTACCTTAACTGTGGACACTTGGTCTTACAAATCATCAAAAGCTTTAGAGAGTGCTTTATATACTGTAAAAAGCAGTGGAGATGATGGTGGAAAGATTGTAAATAGACTGTGGCACTGCTAAGAAGATACTGTGTGACAAAGTGTAACCAGAGGAACTATGGAGAAAAAGGCCAACTGCTATGAGATAAAGTTTTCTGTATGATTGAAGAAACCAGAGAATTCTTGCATTTGTACTGTTTAACTGAACCTGGACTTTCACTAAGTGAGGATTTGTGCCTTGCTCATCTGGCTTGGGACTGCTGGACTAAACTTGAACTTGGATTGTGTACTATTCTTTGCCTCTCTTACTCCTCGATCTCTTTCCCTAATAAACCACACTACTGTGAGTAAAATCTGTGAGTCAAGTTGCAACGAACAGTGAACCCAATAGTTAGTAGAAATGGGTGCAGGAACATGTAGGTTGGTATGTCTGACTACGTATTTATTTGTATAGTTCTGTAGACATTATTTATTGGGACAGTTCCCCTTTATGAAGTGAGTAGAATTCAGACTTAGCCTCCACCCTCATATTGCATCTTCTCTTTTTAAATAGGTATTCACTAATATTTCTGTCTCCAATTATGTGTCTCTTCTGGATATTTCATATATATAAAATCATAATATGTGGTCCTTTGAGATTAATTTCTTTCAGTATGCATAAATTCATCCATAGAGTGGTTTGTATCCTTTTATGGATAAATAATATTGCATTGAATGCATCTACCATGCTTTATTTATCCACTGATGGACATTTGGGTGATGCCTACCTTTTGACTATTATTAATAATACTGCTATAGACATTTACTATAAGGTCCTGTGCCAGCCGGTGCTTTCAGAATTCTTTTGTTGTTGTTGTTTTTATTAATATTTTAACAAAAGTTTACAGAAAACTTGGATTTCCATTCATTCATTGTTGCACATTTCCCTCCCTACCTCCCCCTCATTCACTTTTCTCTTTAAAAAGATTCTTTCCTTGTTGCACAATTTCCTCCCTCCCCTGCCCCCAACTCCCAGTCCTATGCACCTCTTATTCTGGACTGTTCTAGGCATTGACATATGCCATTGACCAACTGACATATTTCAGCTAACAGATGCAACCCTGGATGGGCTCACCAATCTAAGCTAAGGTATTTGGAGGACAGCTGACTGGCTGACTAGCTAAAAGAGATCCACTGATTATTCTAGGTCTCTTGATTTAAATTTGAGTTTTAGAGCATGTCTTAGAAAAGGTGCAACAGGAGGATTCCTTGCAGGCAAGAATGGTGAACATATTGTGGGGAGAAGCTATTCCTTGAAAAGGGATATTATGCTTGGGAAGGTGGAGGGTTGGCAAAATAAAAGAAGACCTCCAACAAGATGGGTAAATTGACACAATGACAGCAGCAATGGGCTCAAGTGTATTAGAAATGATGAGGATGGCACAGGTTAGGACAGGACCTGTTACTGCCATTCTTTCTCATGCAGAGCCTCTAGTGGATATGAAGCATTTGCATTTTGACTGAAAGTGCCACCCATTATCCACTAGGCCACCAGAGATTTCTATAAATTGAGTAGATAGTGTGAAAAGATGCAAGCCTAACACATCTATTGTTTTTGTTGTGTTGTTATGTGCCATCAAGTCACTTGTGATTCATAGCAACCCAATGTACAACAGCCTTAAAACTTGCTCTATCCTGTGCCGATCTTATTATCTCTAACACACCTACCCCCCACTACCACAGTCACTGAATCAATCCATCTCATCGAGGGTCTTTCTCTCCTGCACTTTCCCTACACCCTCCCAAGCATGATGTCCCTCTCTAAGGACTGGTCCCTCCTTGCAACATGCCCAAAGTATGTACGTCAAACAAAGCTTCAGAATCCTTGCCTCCAAGGAGCAGCCTGGTCTCACCCTCTCTAGGACAAACCTGTTTGTTCTAGTAGTCCATGTTATACTCAATACTCTTCTCCAGCACCAAAGCTCAAGGGCATCAATTCTTCTATCATTCCCTAGTCATTGTCCAGCTTTCTGATGCATTGCAAAGACTATGGCCTGGTTCAGGTGCACCTTAGTTTCCAGACTCATATCATTACTCTTAGCACTTTGGAGAGGTCCCTAACAGCAGACTTTCCCAGTGTAATTCATCTTTTAATTTCCTTGCTGCTGGTCCCAAGAGTGTTGTTTGCGAAGGCAAGCAAACTAAAGCTGTTAACAACCTCAATCTCTTTACCATCTATCATGATGGTGCAAATCAAACCAGTGGTGAGAATCATTGTTTTCTTGATGTTGAGCTTCAATCATATTGAAGGCTGCCCTTCTACAGCAAGCACTTCAGGTCCTCCTCAGTTTCAGCTAGCAGGGTTATATTATCTGCAACACTAATAGTTGATGAGTCTTCCTCCAGTCCTGATGCCACATTTCTCCGCATAGAGCCCAGCCTCATGGATAATCTATTCTGCATATAGATTGAAAAGGTATGAAGATAGGACACATCCCTGGCATATGCCCTTCTCAGTTTTGAACCATGCAATATTTCCTTGCTCTGTTCTGACAACTGCCTCCTGGTACTAGTATAGGTTTCACATAAGCACTATCAAGTGATCTGGGATTCCCATTCTTCTCAGAGTTAGCCACGGTTTGTTGTGATGGATGCATTCATGGTTATAAATTCATTTATAAATAACGAAGATTTCCTTCTGCTCCATAGATTGTATTTTGAAGTATTCCCCTTTGAAATTTTTTGTTGTTTGCAAGATATATATATATATATATATATATATATATACATATATATATATATACACACACACACACACACACAAAGTATGTTGCTTAATACAGATTACTTTGAATTTGGTCAGTCTTCTCTTAAAGAGACATGCTGTCTCTGCTTTTAGGAAAATTTACTGTTGTATTTTGTCTGTGATTCAGATCTTGTAATAGGAAGACTTTACTCTGAATGTGAATTGGGCTTTTAGGTGAGCTCTTCATGGGAAATAATGTGCAATAACTGAGATTCCTTAGGCTTTTAGAGTGCTAATAATAGCTTATGTTAAAAACAAAGTAAAACCAACAAACTTAAGTCTTATAAAGCTACAAGAAATAAAGGTGTAGATATGCTGAGAGACATATGTTGTTGTTTTTATGTGCTGTCAAGTCGACTGTGACTCCTAGCAGCCCTATGGACAATAGCTGTGTACTCTGCCTTGTCCTGAACCAATCTCATTGTCTCTGACACAATTGTCCCCATTACTTTAGTTACTGCATCAATCCAGGGTTTACCTCTCCTGTGCAGACCCTCCACCTTTCCAAGCATGAAGTCTTTCTCCAAGAACTGGTCCCTCCTGGAAACATGCCAAAGTATGTAAGACAGAGTTTTATAATCCTTGTCTCCAGGAGCAGCTTGGTTTCACCCTCTTCAGGACAGACCTGTTCTCGTGACAGTCCAGGTATGTTCAGTGCTCTTCTCCAGCACCAAAACTGAAAGACATCAATTCTTCTGTTAGTATCCAAATCTCTGATGTATATCAAGTAATTGCGAAGACCATGGCCTGGGTCAGGCATGCCTTAGTCTCCAGACTCATATCATTTCTCTTCAGCACCTGGAGAGGTTCCTGACAGCAGATTTTCCTAATGCAGTTCATCTTTCGATTTCCTGACTGTTGGAAGCAGGAGTGTTGATTGTGAATCCAGGCAAACTAAAGCTGTTCACAATCTCAAACTTTTTACCTTCTATCATGCTGCTACCTTTGGCCCAGTGGTGAGACTTTTTGTTTTCTTGATGTTGAGCTTCAATCCATATTAAAGGCTGAAGTCCTTGACCTTCTGCAACAAGTTCTTCAGATCCTCCTTAGTTTCAGCAAGTAGAATTGTGTCATCTGCATAACACAGATTGTTAATGAGTCTTCGTTCAATTCTAATGCCACATTTCTCCTCGTAGAGCCAAGCCTGCCCAGTAATCTGTTCCGCATGTAGGTTGAAAAAGCATGGAAAAAAGAAG